AAGGGCTTTCAAGTCTTATTGATAAGCGTTATAAATAGCATGTATCCAATCGAACCGTGTTCACTCGTGTGCAAAGTAACGACAATAGTAAACTGTAAATTTCGTTACAGTTACCCAAAAAATGTAACTCGTTACCGTTACAGTTACCAAAAAAAGAAAGTAACGCAGTTACCAGTAAAGTTACCAAAAAAGTAACTTGTAACTGTAACTTCGTTACAAGTAACGAGTTACTTCCATTCCCTGCTAGAAACGTAGCCCGACCGACATCATATCAGTGACTACGTTCAGCAGACTCAACAGTTTCGCAACAGTTTTATGATTCGTCGCGTTGATTGGTTTATACTTTTAGTTTTAAAGAAATAGTCCTATCTCAGCGAAGAATCGTAAAATGGTTGCAAAACTGTTGAATCTGCTGAACGCAATCAATAGCTGCGTTCGATTTGGCTGCGGTCGAGTTACCACTACGAATGCTTTGAAGCGTTTCTTGATTGGTCAATTTGTAAAACTCTTTCTTTTGATTGGTTAATCAAACGCTTCAAAGCTTCGTAGTGGCAACTCGACCGCAGCCAAATAGCATATCTGAGGCATCGGAGTGCTCTTATATTGTAGCATATGTCACGTGCACTATAGAAAAAGAGCACTCCGACGCCTCAGATTTGCATTGCCGAACGCAGCTAATTGTAGACGTCTCTTAAGGACGTTCACCGGCTACAATCGTAGCCAAAAGTTTACTGCACGCTCGCTTCTCGATGAATAGCTCCCCACTCCGCTTCCCATGCCAATACTTTTTCTATTGAGTGTACTCACGGGACAAACGAACAGGGTTCGATGCCTTGTATGTATACACGCGCACACTAGCCTGTGACGTCTGTGTGAGAAAAGCGGAGACCCGGCAACGTTGCGGATAGGAGTAAAAGAGGGGATGACACTGACAGGAGTTACGTAGCATCAGGCGTGTGTTAGTGAGATTAGAGGACGACCAACACAATGTCTCATCAAAATCGCAGATCGAATGGCAGATTCGTGACAATAAAAAGATTAGACAGTGAGTTAATACGTGCAAAAGTTTTACTTACAGCTAGAAAAGTAAAAGCTCAAAAAAAGTGCATAATACAAGCCGTCGAAGATAACAATATTTGTAAGGGTAATCGTTTCGTTGATATGCAAGTGGTTGCAAAAAATTTGAAATGTTGCAAATGCATGAGGGTTCTTAGTTTACAAAATATAGTAGCTGAAAAACGTTTAGGCCTTCACTCAAGTCTAACAATTGTTTGCGAAGAGTGTAAGATGCAAACTATAGTTAGCACAGGAAAGATGCAAATGTATAATGGGCACAAATATGCAGAAAGCAACTTATCACTTGTACTGGGTAAGTTTTAAATTCAATAATATTAACAATTAATTTGAAATTTAACAAGGACTCTTAATATAAACAATAATCAATTACAGTATAAGGGTAAAGTAAGAGTCAATTTAAAATAAATCTACAAACATTATATCAAATTAACGATTTACAAAAATTAATTAACTTAAAACTAATTAAACTTAAATAAAAATAGTGATTAATATATATAGGATCTACGTAACCAGTTCCGACTCTCTAATTGAGTCCTCTTCAAACTTCGAATCATCTTATTAGCGTATATATCCATGATAAATAAAGTGTGAACTTTCAATATCGTTTTAATTGTCTTCTTTGCTCTGTTTGTTTCGATACTTCCTTTATAATTATTATGTGATATTTATTACATATTACGCTTTATTACGTCTCAAGTAAAGAATTACTACTATAAATATATGCGTTTAGAAATAATATAATTGACTTTCGAATTTCATTTATTTTGCATAATTGTTTTTCTTCCGATCCAAATAGAAAGCCGCGCTAGTGTTACTATATACGTACATCTGCTGCGCGCACGAGGTGGATGGCGGAGCGCGGCGTTGCCGCGTCTCAGCAGCACCTTTCCTTCCATGCGGCGACTTATTTCGAAGTGCTGTCGGATACACCACTTCAAACTTCGATAACTCAA